TCAAACAAAAATGACAAAGTCCAAACCTTAAACAAAATAATAGATACCACTGTGCTGATAACTTGGTCTTACTATAGTTCTCTGCACAGACTGGGATTATTAGACTCGCTGAATTCGTCAGAAATACGACTTTTAAGGAGCAGTCTCTTACAGCATTTGTTGACACCCACGGCACGCATGCGCGTTCTTGCGTTATATTCGTGAGTAACTCTTCTTGACCATAAACTCTTTTTCTTATCTGGGTTGTGCATAAACATAGCCTAATAAATCTACATAACCTACCGTAAAGTATTTTCACACATCTCCAATTCGGCTTGCTGGTACAACAGTCAACTTTGTGCATGAGTGCTTTACCGTTACTTTACTTTTATCCTCTTCACCACTGGTCGGCTCGTGATTCGCTTGGGTGGTCGGTCACGCCTCTGTTACGCACTGTTGGCAAGTACTAGGCATGAACTGGCTTCTGAATGTATCTGTACCTGCGCCAGTGTTGGTCAAATTTAAGCTGGTCTTGAAAGAGCTCACACTCAGTGCCGTCACAACACTGTCCGGGAGATTTCTCCAAGAGTTTGCCCTCATAGTTTTCTGGACTTGTAGCTTCTTCAACCCTGAACTGCGATCCCTTGTATAGGGCGAGCGTCTGTCAGCTCCAGGTTTGGACACTCGACTGAGTAGTGCCCTCTGAGATGTTTATAAACTTCGATTAGATCACCCTTTGCCCGTCTATAGTATAATCTAGGCAGTTGCAGCTGTTCAAGTCTCTCTGGGTAACTGAGGTGTTGTTAGTGCAGGCGCCATGCATTCTGATGGCCCTCCTTTGGAAATTTTCAATCAACTGACAGTCCCGGGGACTAGACGGGGTGATAGTCCTATGACGGGGAGGCACCATACTTTTGAAGAACGCTGGACCTTTTAAATATCTGAACAACCTTCTTTTCAGACTTACTAGTTTATTGCTTGATTCACCTTCTTCTCACTGTAGCCCGAGAACTTCAGTTCGTTGTCGATATACACAGTAACACACCCAGGTTTTTTTCACATTTGGTCTCTATCATTGCAGTTTCTGCGTCCTGTTGGGACATAAAATATACGCTTCCTTACTGTTGGTACGACATATGTGCATACTCTCACACTTCGTGGCATTGAATCTTAGCAGCCATTTCTTTGACCACTCTTGAATCTGATAAAGATCTTTCTGTAGATCTTCACAGTCTGTTTGGTTCTTAATTTCCCTGAATAACTTGGTATCGTCCGCAAACATTTGTATGGAGGAGTGTATAGCTTCTGGCATGTCATTAATGAAACAAACAAACATCAACGGGCCCATTACACTGCCCTGTGCAAGGGCGGATCCAGGGGGGGGTCCTGGGGGGTTTGGACCCCTCCTTTTCATCAGAAAATTCCAATACTTTTTCTTTAATGCAGTATTGTACTCAGGCATTTTGTATAGTAAAAAGTAATTACTAATGACCTCAGAATACTTCCTAATATCAAGTGCACATGGCTTCAAAATGGCCTCAAAATGGCCTCAAAATACCCATGATATTGGTCAGATTTCAACGAAATTTCTGGGGAGCTGAGGTTGTCGTTATTATCACTCTGTTCCAGAATTTAAGTCCAAACATCCAGCACCTGAGTAATTGTGTTAAGCACAAGCGTCCCGTCATAAACCCGCATTGGCAGTCCTCTATTTTGTTGTTTCGTAGTAGATGTTCTAACATGGCATCTCTTGTAATGCTTTATAGTACTTTACACACTATGTTGGCCAGACTCACTCTTATGAACCTTTAGCTTTGACAATTGATTTCTTATACCCTCTTCTGAGAACACATTGTGGGTCAGAGCTGTGTCTTTTCTCAAACGCAGGAAGATTGTTCGCATTCTCTCTTGTGAACACCAAGGAAAAGAATTTGTTCAACCTCTTGTCTTGATCTGAATCTGCATAACTACCGTCTTCAAGTCTCTGATCCCATACGCCTACACGCGTTTTTAATTTTGATTTTGCGTAACGGTAGAAAGCCTTTGGGTTTGATTTGACTTTGCTTGTAATCTGCCTCTGGAACTCTTTTTCAGCCCTTCTACGTTCTGACTTTGCTTGGTTCCTGACCCTAGTATACTCGTACATCCTCGTGTCCTGCTCATCGTTTGTCTTAAATTTTTGAGATATTTTCTTAACTCCGTCAATCAAGATATGGATCTATAGGCTATACACAATATTTTAATCATATTTACTCGGTTACTCGGATGCAAAGTGAGCAACGCCTGTGATATTGACGTGGCTGACTGAGCCTTCCGAGTGCTGCAGCTCTCTTAAAGGTACTACAATACCCTCTGGAAACCTGTTATAACCTCTTTGGATATTAAACGTATCACGTAGATGTACTGTACAAGCAACCTGTAGTAAGCTAAGGAGCATGAAAGTCTCTTTACGGTGGTCATTTATATAAATAAATAAATAATAATAATAATAATAATAATAATAATAATAATAATAATAATAATAATAATAATAATAATAATAATAATAATAATAATAATAATAATAATAATAATGATAATAATGATAATGATAATAATAATAATAATAATGATGATAATAATAATAATAATAATAATAATAATAATAATAATAATAATAATTACAGTACTGTACAGTATTTCGTAAAATCACCATGTAAGTTTGCAATTGGTTTAGCACGTACAGTTTGTATAGATAACGCATGTACTATAATATACGGTGTACTATACATGACTACATTTTTTTTTTACTTTTATCCTCTTCGCCAGTGATCGGGCCCGTTAGCCGCTGGTACTGTCTACCGTGTCCAATGGACAGAACCTAAGCAGTGCAGATATACAATAATAGTAAACAATAGCAATTCGACCAAGGATAACCGACAAAACCATCAGATGCTTATTTCCAATACTGTTGTTGTAATGTTCAACAGTACGAAGGAATAATGCGTTCATTGAAAATACATTTCTTTCCATAATATGCATGATTTTTTTTTTGTCTCGTCTACAAAAAATTAGCAAGAAGTAATAAAAAAATCAGAGAAAGAGAAATTGGTCTTGATCTACACGACATTTGTGAAGTAAACAAGGTTTAGTTCTACATTTGTAAATGAAGGGTAAAGAGTTTATTGCAAAATTTTCAACACATGAACCGTAAATTAGCAAACAGATAATGATTACCACCCGCAGCGAGCAGAGTAAACTAAGACACAATCTTTAAGAAACAAAAGTTAGTATATAAGTCTAGTAAAGCTAACACTCTAATAAGTGCAATACTGCGGTAGCAAAAGAAAAGTAACAAAGTCACGCAAATGTGCTTTTAAATATTTTTCAAATTTCCTGAATGGCGAATTTCTTAACTGGGATTTCCAGATAATCGAACCACTCTTGCATGATTTCTATTCATCTTTATATCGTATCTCATGTTGGAATTGTTTAGGCACTCCTTAAACGACCACGACACTAAGAACGGGATTATTTACATTAAACAAGGTAAGCTGGAATGACCAACTTAATATGGAGGTTATGGGATAACTGTGTTCTTCCTCATAAATTTAGATTTTGACATTTATAATGTGTCATAATAGATGATGGATATGTGAACCATATATGTATATTTACTATGTTGCACAATGGGTGTTGTGCAGGGCAGGATTAACCACCCATTAGTGCCCAAATTTTTTTTCTTTAATTTATTACCAAAAATCATTTTTTGTACAACTTTATTTGATACTAAATATATAAAAAAAAATTTATTACAATATTCTAAGAAAAAAATACATTTTTAGTTTGGTCCTTTTTTTAGGACCATGGGCATATGGGGGGTACTTTTGTTCAAAAAACAGGTTTTTTTAAAGTAGAATACTTGATTTCAAAAAGGAAAATAAAAATAAAAAAGCACTCTTTTATTTATTTATTAATCCAAATGAAATGCATATTACTTGAAAAAAAAGAATAAAATGTAATTTTTTTTTCTGAACAATCTAAATACAGATTACTTCGAATGCCATTTGTTGAAACATTCACCCATATGAAGACCAACATCACATTTTACACATTGTTTTGAAACTTTTTTTTTTGCAAAAGGCACATTTTCTTTGTTTCCCTCCCTCTGTTCTATCAAGAATATGTCCAATAGTAGAAAATCTAATTTCTGGTATTACTTTTGAAGAAAATACCTTTGGCCGTCCAGAATTTTTGGGATCAGAATCTGAGGATAACTGCAAATAAGCTTTTGTAACTGACCTCTTGAAATCTAGTAATGTCAAAGTATTTCCATTTGCAAAACAATATACAATCCAGGAATTAACCATTACAGTATCAAGGAAATTTGTGAATAGACTAAAGTACCACTTCTTAGATCTAACAGAGATGCGATACCTTTGGATAAGCCAGTCTAAGTGGTCCACTCCTCCCATATATTTGTTATACTGGGATATGAGAAATGGCTGAGGAACAAATATTTTCTTTCCATGGCTGGTTGACCATCTTTTAGCATTTCCAACAGGGGTGGCAGACTGATGATTGCTTGCAATTGTGAAAACGCTGTTGTCATGCCATTTAAAAAAAAAGAGTTCTTCCTTTTCTTCAAATTTGTAGTCATAGGATCCACGATTTTTCTTTTTCAGGGATTTGTCATCCTTCAGGGGACATCTGGATGTTCTGTTTGAACGTACTGTACCCGTGATTCTGATTCTTAAGGATTTCATTTGTACAAATAGGTTATAACTTGAGAAAAAGTTATCAACATAAATTTCATGATCATTGGGGTTCTCTAGGTGATTGGTCATTGATAAAACCACTCTTAAACCTAGACTGTCATCGTTCTTGGTATTGGAAGTAGGATTTTTTTGCTTTCCTTGATATAAATCCATTCCAAAACAATAGGCACTAGTGGCACAACATGGCACCCACTGCTTGAAACCAAATCTTATTGGCTTACCTCTTATAAATTGTTTTAGAGAGCTTCTTCCATAGTATCTTACTATCTGTTCATCTATTGACAGTCTCTTAGAGAATATTCCAAACTGCTTGAACTTCTGATTCAGAGCATCAGCTAGAGGTCTAATTTTGAATCCTTTATCATCTTTGTAGTTTTCTGCATTTTCATTGTCAACAAAATGAAAAAACCTTTTGATGCTTAGAAATCTGTTTCTTGGCATTGTTGTTCGAATAATCGGAGTTTCAAGGTCTTCAGACACACTCCAATAATGCCCTTCACTTGGTAGTCTGAGGTATCCTGAAAAAAGTAGGATTCCAATGAAATTTCTCAGACAGTTTGTTGACAGACTAAAATCATGTACATTTTTCTGTGTGGAATAAGTGACAGATTCTCTGCAAATTTCACTTAGTAAATCCTCGTCAAGGAAAAGTTCAAAAATCTCAACTGGGCTCTTGCCAAGTACTTTATCTTTCATTGATTTCATTCTATCATCTGCTCCATCAGTAGTTGGTGATGCAAATTTTGAAAAATTAGGCTCAGTCTTTTTCCAAGAAAAATCTGAGCTTTTCTTTCTTTTTCCTTTTGGTTGTGTTGGTTCTTCTTCATTATCATACCGATGAAGCTCAACACTTCCTGGCACATCCTGCAAGATAAAGGTCGGATCTCTGTTCTCACCATCTAAAATCTCATCATCAAAGTCTTCTTCATCAGTTAGTTCATTTACTGGTGGAGGAATTTCAACAATATCAATAAAGTTTTCATCACTAGGAGAGTCATTTTCTTCTGCATAATTTACTGCATCATGAACTGAATAGAATGACTTGACTGAATGGTAGAAAGCCATGGGAGAGTGACCATGGTCCTTATTTTAGGACCAAACTTTTAGAGCATGCTATATTTGAGCAAAATTACTTTCAAAGATTTTCTTGACTTTATAGGACAGTTAGAACATTCATTTATACTATATACAAATATGGGTTGGATATAAGTACTACTTACCAAAAAAAATTTTGATTGAATAATAGATGAAACTGAGTGTATCCTTTCCCTCAAGATTTTCACACTGTACTGAAAACTGAGACATCAGTGTTGCCAATATACATCAGACAGTAGGTGTAATATTTGAAAGACACTCCAGTCTTGATGACTAACTAAAGATATCTCAGAAAAATACAGGTGTTGCAGAAATATGATGAATTATCCTTCTGGTTCTAAAAAAAGGACCATGGGCGCTAATGGGGTTTTCTTCTGAAGGTATTATGCCTTGTAGTGACCAGATCATATTTGCGATAAAACCTAATAGGCTGGTGTAAAAACCGCCGTATAAAATTGGTGAAAAATATTTATCCCATTTTGTTCGTTAACTATGTTTTAGGATAAGAAGGAAATCCTTCTTATCTGTCCAAAACCACTTGTGAGGAAATTATTGAACTTGTAGAGTTCGTGATATTATGTTGTCTAACAATCAGGATGGATTGATGGAAACTCTAGGTGGTGGTTTTCTTATATAAAATATATTATATGAAAGACAGTCTGGTGCTGGATATGCCGTGTGGTGAGAAGCTTGTGGTGAGAGACACTTTCAGTGAGTAGCGTGCTTGAGGTATCTGTGCAGGAGCTTTGTTAGAGATGTTGCGTGTTGCTGTCCTCCATGTTGAATGAGGGCTGGACAACGAGGAGCTTGCTTGGAGGAGGTATTGCCTGTTCAGGAACGTAGGCCAGAATGAATCTCAATGGAGAGACAGAGCTTATATACAGAGCAGCCGGAAGTAAACCCGTGGGAACTCGCCGGTTTCTTGACTCCATTGCTAGGGAAGACGTAGCAGATGGCGATCCCCGTGTTGCTAGGATACGGTAGCAGCTGGTGATGCCCCCTGTTGTTGGGATACGGTAGCAGCTGGTGACGCCCCCGTGTTGCTAGGATACGGTAGCAGCTGGTGACGCCCCCCCCCCCTGGGCTGCTCGTTTGGTTGCTAGGATACTGTCGCATTGGAATGCAGATGTAGTTTGTAGGGGAGAGATCCACTACAAACTTATGGCTCAAAAGGTTCACGCTTTCATTGTTGACGAAGTGACTTTTTCTGGTTATTTTAGCTTGTCAGTTGACTCGACCCCAGATCTATCACATATAGATCAGTTAAGTGTTGTACTTCGATACATAAAAGATGGGCAACCTATTGAGCGCTTTTTAACACTTCTAGAACTAGGAAGCCATTCTGGTGAGGAAATGGCAAACCAGGTGTTGAAGTACTTAAGTCATGTTTACAAACAAAATTTTTCAAAATGTAGGGGTTCTACGACAACGCTGCTAACATGTCTGAGCGTTATAGGGGGATGCAGAAAAAGTTTTAGAAGAAAATAAGTTTGCCATATATGTGCCATGTGCAGCCCATTCACTAAATCTGGTAGGCCGAAATGCTGTTGACTGCTGTCAAGTGGTAGTTAATTTTTTCTCAACAGTACAGTTGCTCTATACATTTTTTTTTCAGCCTCAACCAGCCGGTGGAAAATTCTTAAAGTTAGTCTTGGAAATGAAAGAGTGTTAAAATCCCTTTCTGCTACCAGATGGGAGGCACATGCTGTGGCAGCAGCAGCAATTCTTAAGTCTTTCTTTAAGATTTTGGAAGCTTTAGAAAGTCTAGCAGAAGACGAATCACAAAAAGGAGACACTAGAAGAGGCAGACAATATTGTAAACAAGATGCAAGAGCTAGAATTTGTTTTAATGTTGATCATATGGGATGAGATTTTGCAAAAGTTTCATAGAGCAAGTAAAGTTCTACAAAGTGAGTACGTGAACTTGAAAACGTGTGCAGGTCTGCATGCGTCATTAACTGACCAACTCTGCATTTTACGAGATGACTTTGAAAGATTTGAATCACTCGCGAAGGAAATCCTACCAGATGTAGATTATAATGCAGCGCAAACTCGCAAGCGTATCAGAAAGAAGGTACCCAATGACGGAGATGCATTAGAAGTAAATCTGAACCCCAGAGATAAATTTCGTATCACCACCTTTTACACAATTGTTGACAAACTCGAAACCCAGATGAGAAGAAGAGGAGAGGTGTACACAGAAATAGCAGACAGATTTTTTTTTTTTAAGTGATGTACCAAATGTTGTATCATTATCTACTGAAACTAAGAGGTATGTTCAGTGTTCTCAAGGCTAATTGATGCTTACCCAGAGGACTTGGACATTAATTTCTCTACTGAGCTTCAGCAGTTTCACTCATATGTGCGCCATAAGTTCAGTGCAACTGAAACTGTAAAAACCGGATTCAGTCACGCTGAACTTTATAAAATAATTTTAGAAGACAAACTTGAATGTGCTTTTCCAAATGTAGAAATTTAATTTCGTATATTTTAAAAATTTATGCTCACAAATTGCACAGCTGAGCGTTCGTTTTCTCAGCTGAAGCATATTAAAAATCCATACAGAACAACTATGCAACAAGAGAGTGTTGCGTACTGAATGTGTGGCCAGAAGATATCCCAGACTCAGGACGAGGTAGGAGAGAAACTCACAATTGCATTTCTTTATACGTATATTGTAAGTACAGTGCAGTGCTAGGGAGATGCCGTGTGGTAAGAAGCTTGCTCAAAAGACACGTTGGGTGAGTAGCGTGCTGCTGTGCAGGAGCTTCGTTAGAGGAGGTGTTGCGTGTTGCTGGCCTCCAGGTTGAATGCCTCTACACGGCGAGAATGGGAGCTATTACATGGAACGGAAGTACAAGTTGCCGGTGTCGACCCCCCCTCCCCCCATGTTTAGCGTGGTCAGAGAAACTTGGCGCGACTCTAGGCGACGAGGCTTTGGCAGAACTCCGTTGCTATGGGATACGGCTAGGCTGTTGTAGGGGAGAGTAACCACTACAAGAGGTTGGATGCCTTGTCTCTGCTAAGCATAGAAGCAGATTTGTTACGGCAGATTAGTTTTGAAGACTTGATCAAAGACTTTACAATTAAAAAAAAGTGTGTGAAGTACAAGTCGAGTGACAGCTCAAGATAATTGTTGTTCAAGTATTGTGGATTTTTTGTGAGCTATATAAAGTGAAAAGACTAAGGAATTGTACACTGGTAATGTGCTGACTGAATTATATTCGAAGTAAGAAGTCCAGCTGTAAGAACATTGTTGTGAAGATATAGTATTAAAGAGACTACAGTGCACAAGTGTGTTTCTGTGACTTGGTGGAAATCTACCTGCCTGTTGTTTTGTCTGTAGAATGATGCTGATCGTCGGGAAATTAACGGGGACTGGCGGGAGAGCCTGTGATATATTTACTGCTTCTGTACATACGGCCTTTTTTTTTTACGAGGAATAGCCCAGCCAGGCACAGGTCATCGACCCACAACTGGGCCTAGGGGGCCAAAAAAAATAAGAGTAGAAAGAAATTAAAAATCGAAAAGGAAAAGGTTATATTAATACACCACGAAGATGCCGGAAAACCAGCTTTTTAAAATGAGACATTATATGAGTGTGGAAACACAGAAGAAGGCAGAGCATTCCACAGTTTGGCTGTGTGAGGAAAGAAGGATGTACATTGTACTGTAACGGGTTATTCTAGTGTGACCGACATCCACAGAGAAACAGTAGGCACCGCGGGCAAGACGTGTGTTACGAGCCCACGGCCTTGCCGGCGGTACATAGGATGCCAAATCCACCGAACATTGCCCGTTAAAGTACCTGTAAGAGAGAGAGTGAAGCAACATTGCGGCGAAGAGAAAGGGAACAAAGATTGACAACTAAAGGAGGAGAGTTAATAAGATGAAAGGCCTTTGATTCCACCCTATCTGACAGTTGGACAGAAGGGCCACCCCAGATATGAGAGCAGTACTCGAAGTTAAGACGAATGAATCCCTTATATACTTGAAGAAACTGCTCAGGAGTGAAGTAGCTACGGCATCTGTACAGCATTCCCAGCTTTCGGGAGGCAGCTTTAGCAGTTTAGAGGATGTGTGGCTTCCATGACATTTTAAAATTTGGCAGAATGATAGCGTCCTGAAATGTGATTGGTGGAAGATCATCTAATTTGGAAAGTGTAATTGGTAAATACTGAGTTTCATTACGATTTAACTTAATCAAGTTTCTACCTCCCAATTTGGAGATGCTGCACAAATCTGCATTGATAAATGTAATGATATTAGCTCTAGAAACAAATCTAGTTTGAGACTTAGGTGGAAGGGCAGCTGATAACCAGCGGTGGAAGTTGGTAAGCATCAAATGGGGGATTCGTAACGATATTATCCCCTATGTAAGTTCACTTTAAGCCAAAAACAGTGTTTTCCCATTTAAAAGAGAAGGACGTGGAAAGAGAGAATATCATTAACACCAAGTATAAAATTTCCGTATAATTTTCTTGCATGAAAATACTTGAACAATGCAACAGTTTGTAATGTTAGTCTAAGTTTTGAAATTTCCTTGGTCGCATATACCCTACACCGTATACATTTACTTTTTTTACTTTTAACCTCTTCGCCACTAATCGGCTCGTTTGCCACTTGGACGGTCGGTCATGTCACTGTTACGCAGTGTTGGCAAGTACTGCGCATGTACTGTCTCCTGGATGTATCTGTACCTATGCCAGTGTTGGTCAAGCCTAGTCTTGAAAGAGCTCACACTCGGTACCGTCATAACACTCTCTGGTAGATCTCTCTGGTAGATTGTTCCAGAAGTTTACAATTCTCACCCCGATAAAAGCTTGCCCTCACAATTTTCTGAACTTGTGGCGTCATCAACCTTGAGGTGCGATCCCTAGTAGGACGGGCGTCCGCCAGCTCCTGGGTATGGACACCCGGGTGAGTAGTGCCCTCTGAGATGTTTATAAGCTTCAATTAGATCACCCCTTGCCCGTTTATAGTATAAGCTAGGCAGTTGCAGGCCCTCTAATCTCTCTCGGTAGCAAGTGCCTTAGTGCAGGCACCAGTCTGGCGACCCTTCTTCGGACATTTTCAATCAACTGAGTCTCTAGTAAATCTCGGGGACCAGACGGGGTGACAGTACTCCAGACAGGGAAGAACCTCACTCTTGAAGGGGATTACGACATTCTTACAAGAACTACGAGTTTAGTTATTTGATTCACCTTCTCACAATGGCAGGAGAACTTCAGTTCGTTGTCAACATACTGTATCATACATCGTGAACTCTGTAACACTACATTGAATCAAGAGTCCTTGAGGATATTCTGAGTTTATCCGAAATGTGCTTGCCCACATTAATTTTTTTTCAATTTATAATATAACACTAATGAATATGACCAATTTTATTATCTCCTCTTTTCCATAAACCTCAATTCTGTGTGGCGGTGATCAATAATAGCTCCCTCAGTGACTGAATTACTGTTCTCAGATTAGGCAAACTTGTACACCAGTCTTGCCACTAATGTTTTTAAGAAACAAAACCTTGTGTAAAATTCACTCCAAAATTAAGTTCTTTGTTCGTCTCAGTAATCCACAATCCTGGTGTATAAAGTAGTGGTTAACGAGTGAGGGTGTGTGTGTGTTTGTTTTAAGGAGTGTCCGTGTGAAAATGTGTGGCAAATGCGCCCATTGATATAGATGTATGCGTGCTTGAAAATTTATGTAAACGTGTTAATGTGTCTTTTGTCGGCATGGGTCAGTATTTGTGGGACAATACACGTTACAGTTAAGGAGTGAAAAGCTGTTACATATTCTGTTTTATGTAAGGAATATTGATATGCAGCATATTTAAAAAAATCAAAGCATCTTATCTTGATAAAATTCAAGCTTTCACTTCTATCTCCTTTGAATTCTACCAGTAAGTTGAATGCCTTCCCACACCTTAGAGAATCCCTTTTGGTTTCTTAAATATTAAACGGCGCGCGATGGTGTCCCGAGCATTGTGGTCTGCCAGAAGACGCGGCCAGAAGACGCGGGGTGTGGACCAATGAGGGCTCGAGGCAGCCGGCGGCAGTCAGGCAGGCAGCGGGACCAGTGACAGACTACAGCTCGCACCTCCTTCATCCCTGTTCCACACAAACCGCTCCCTCACATACTCACGCCAGGTGAGCATTGTCCTGTATTTGCTTTGTATATACCCTTCTAACACTGCATATAAGCTTTATGTAGTATTGTAGACATTGTTAAGCTGATTATTTTGATTAGCGCGTCGTCTGCATACTAGAGAGGGAAGGATGAGAAAGAGGCGTCGTGTGTACGGAAGGTGTATTACCAATCATTTTTAAGTTGTCAAGTAAAGCTTCTTGTATTGTCTAGGACATGTATCTTGTTAATCATGCATTAATCTCCAGTGATTATATTTTTATTGTACATTAGATGTTGCACGTGCTTCTACTTCCCACCGTGATTGATTAGGCTTGTAGCAGTAGTACATTCCTGTGAGCGTTAATTCTGCTAACCTCAAGTTCAGGTAAAATTTGGTGGTATTATGAGTGTAATACTTTGGGTATAGCTGTTTATAACTAACTTCGGGAGGCCGAGTTAAAGTGTCATTGGTTATTACCTAATAAGGACACAAGACCATTGAAAAATAAAAGGAATGGCTCCTAGGTAATTTTTTATATAGTAAGATGGGTCCTTTCGTGAAGTTAAGAAACAAATACTCTGAACCATTAATAGTATTTTATACTTGAAATGATCTTTTAATTATTAAAAAAAGAATAATCATTAAGTGAACAGTATCTCTTAACAGCCCAGAACTAAGTATAATGTACAGTAGTTCCCAAGAGCACTTGTCCTTAAATGTACATTTAATACAAGTGCATATTGATTTGAGTGAAAGCAATTTAGGTTATACTTCATGGCTAGACAAAATATTTTGATATTTGTGTAGAAAATGTTATTTACTAAGGAGTTTGGGCCATAAAACCACAGGGATTCATGAGTCAATATTTTATTTTCCCACCCCTATGTCATTCATGTCTGGCGATGTAATTGGCGCTTAACAAACGAAATGACACGGTCTCTAAACTATGTCTTTCACCATACTTCAAGAGTGAGGTGCTTTCCAGTTTGGAGTACTGTCACCTGGTCTGATCCCCGAGGTATATTTGACTGTCACTTGATTAAAAATGTCCAAAGGACACCTCGGTTGTCTAGCTTATACTATAGACAGGCAAGAAGTGACTTAATTGAAGTTTTAAAAATCTCAGAGGGCATTACTCGGTCATTTTTTTCATACCTGGAGCTGGTGGATGCCTGCCAGTAAATTTTTACTTTAGAACATGAGTCCCTAGGGGTTGACCAATATGTTTTTCCAGTGTATTTTGGTGTATTTTAAACGAATCTGACCTTCATTTTTGGCGAAAATTGCTGGTCTCCCCCCCCTCCCCCAACAATAATGGGGGAGAGCCTGGGAAATCGGGGATTTTGGGTGGGGGATAAAACGAAAACAAGTCATCTGACCTAACAAAACCAAACCTAACCCCGGTAGGCCTAACCTGACCCCTTACTTAGAGGTGGAAGGACCGGGAATACGTAAGAATTGGATAGAATGATCGTCTTTCTCGTAAAATTCGGCAATAAACTTAAAATAATAATAATCGTAGGAGCACAAATGACAACCAACCTCCACCACGGCCATTGTGAAACTGGTCAATGAAATTAAAATCATTCCCAGGCTGCTTCCTTTGAAAAAAAAATCAAATGTTATTGGTCGAAAAAAAAATTGCGTGACTTCAATACCTCATTGGTCACGACTATGACGTCGGTCAACATTGCACATGCCTGATGCGCAGATAACATCTCACAGATGAAGACTGAAAACTACTTAAGATCAATTAAATTAAATTGTGTTGCTATTGTCCATTTCTGCCATGTATATATGGGGTTCAAAATGCTCAGAATAGTGAGATCTAAATGTTTCAGTAGTTTATAACTATTGGGGGCACTATGTCTGAAAGTTAAATAATACCTGCCTGCCCTACGAGGGGTCACAGCTCGAGGTTGAAGAAGCCATAAATTCAGAAAATTGTCAGGGCAAACTTTTTCGGAGTGAGAACTGGAACCTCTTGGAACAATCCGTCGAGCGTTGTGACGGCACTGATTGTGATTTCAGGCAAAACCAGACTTGACCAACATTAGTTTAAGTACAGATACATTCTAAAACCAGTACTTATTAACAATGCGTAAAAGAGGTGCGACTGACCACCCAAGCGGCTAACAAGCCAATCATTGGCGAAGAGAATAGAAGTAAAAGGTATATGTACGTACTGTTCTTGTGCACCTAAACTGGTAGTTTTGAGGTAATGAGGTAACTTTTCTTTACCAATAATCACTGATAGATCTTCGGTTTCATGTGCCATGTACAAAGAAAATCGGATATGATTTTAAAGTAGATTAACCTTCTGATTCAAAAAATATATGGAAATTTTTTTATGGAAAAATGATTTTGAAAAAAAATATTAATAGGTTTGTATTTGCTTGACCAGATCTTTGTTTTCCTGCCTTTGATTCCAAACAAACTCAGGAGTTGGTCATATCACAATTGGTTCAAAAATCATTTCTCCAAAAAAAAAAGAATTCTACTTTTAACCTCTTGGTATTCTAAAACATTTTCCCTTATTTTTTAGGACACTGTACAGGACATGAAACTAATAAGATCTTTATTGATAAGCCAGTTTTTGTGAACAAGAATGTCCATATCAATTTCCCTAAACACCATTTCATTGCCTTGCCTACTTGCTACTTGTATAGGGGGTCCCCGGGTTAGGAACGGGTTCCGTTCCTGAGGACGTTCTTAAGTCGGAAATGTACGTAAGTCGGAACACATGCTTTGTGCATACCATACGTACACTGTTTAAAGTCCCATTAGATCATAGCCGAAGTCCTTATATACATCTAAAATCACTTAATTTAAGAGAAAAGAAGAAATAGAATGACACATTACAGTAAATGAAAGTTAAAACATGAGTCATCGGGTAATTAAAATATTGTAAATTTAAAGTTTTGCCTCGTTTGTGTAGGCAGGCGTTCGTAAGTCGGGAACCTCCTGTACTTTAAAAATCTATCACTGAACTATGTCTGATTTTAGCAGGAGAGAACCACAGCATTTTATGTTAGCGTAGTTACTTATTTTGGGGATGCCAGCCTTCATATTGATTTCACTTGATTTTTGGGATACAGTAATAGGAATATTTCCACTTTATAATTCTTGAGCTTCCCATTGTATATACAGCTGCTCCTTGACTTACGACGGGGTTAGGTACCCAAATCCAGGTCATAACTCGAATTGGTCGAAAGTCGAAAATGCAAAAAATAATACATAGAAAATCTAAAATGAAATACAGTACAGTAAAAGTAATCAATAATGAAGAATGAATACAGTGTTACTGTGCACTTACCTTTAATGTAGTCAGCTGACTGCACACGGGGGCCCCCATAATTTCTTAATTATACATGGAGACTACATTAACTGGATGAAGCAGAGGAGGAGACACTGCTGGGTGGGTCATCAATGTCGCTTTCTTCAGACAGGTTAACATATAGGGGAAACTTGCTTGTTGAAGGTATTGGATCATCTTTAGGGGAATGAAAAGGCAGCACTGGTGTGCATGAGGAGACAGCAATGGGGGGACTTCTTAACGTATATGTCCAATTTAGGCTGCACAGTTTGCCTTTTCTTTTCATTGTAAATCTCGCTGTAGCAAGCAAGTGCATCTTGGATCATTCTGTCAACTTTTGCAGAACGCTCAACATTTTGATCCATTCCGTCAAACATTTGCATCCCCTTTTTAATTGTAGCAAATGGCTCTTCTGCCATTTGTTTCACTGAAAAATTTTTGGGGGGTGCAGGTGGTTGTTCTACATTTTGACTCTTCTTCCTCTGCAATTTTCTGTGCTTCCAGTTCAATAAGATCCTTGTTACTTAGCTCTTCTGCTACACTCAACCAACTGCTCAACATCTTCATTATCAATTTCTAACTCCAGCTGTTTACCCAACTTCACTATCTTGTTACTAATTGCAGAAATTACTTCTCTTCATTAAATCCTCTGACACTGTTCACATATCTTTTCAGGACTTTCTTCCATATTCCATTCATGCACTGACCTGTAACCTCATCCCATGCTTGAGCGTTTTCTCACCTTTTGTAGCAGCAACAGCCACAGCGAAGGTCGTACGTAAATAATTCGCTTTAAAAGCAGCAATAGCACCCTTGATCCATGGGTTGGATGATAGAGGTAGTGTTAGGTGGAATGTAGACTACCTTAACATCAGGGTGCAGGTTGTCCAAGTGTGGTGGGTGTCCCGGAGCATTATCCAAAATTAACAAAATATTGAATGCAATCCCTTGTTGCAGACAATACTCCTTGGTTCGTGGAATGAAACAAGTCAGGAACCAATCCTCAAACTGTACTAGGGTCATCCAAGCTTTCTTGTTACTACGATAAAACACTGGCAGTGTGTGCTTGCTGACATGTTTAAAAGCCCTTGGGTTCTCTGAATGATATATCATGAAGGGCTTTATCTTGAAACCAGCTACATTCCCCCCTAACAGAAGTGTGATTTGGTCCTTGAATCCTGGCATTGTTTTCGCCTCTTTGTGGATGTATGTCCATTCTGGCATGCGCTTCCATAATATGCCAGTTTCATCCACATTAAATATTTTCTCAGGCACATAATTTCCCTCCACGATGACATGATCTAGCTCCTCCTTAAAAGCTTTGGCAGCACCCACATCAGCACTTGCTGCTTCTCCACTCGCCTTTACACTATGCAAACTGTAGCGGTTCCTAAACCTTTGGAACCACCCATGACTTGCTGTGAAGTTTTGGTCGCACTCATCTCCTGCCTGCTCCTTTAGGCTTTCAAAAAGGCTTCTTGCCTTAGCCTGTAGGGTTAGAAGGCTTAAGGGTACACACTTTTGTATCTGATCTTCCATCCATACCACAAGTAATTTTTCCATTTCATGAATAGGACCTTGTCATTTTTTTGTTATTATTGTTCTCTTTATAGGTGCTGTTCCTTTCACTACCTCACGAATACGTTCCTTGTCCTTCAAAATTGTCAATATGGTCGAGTGCGAGAAACCTAGGCCGTGTGAAA